AAATGCTCAGACTTGGTCCTTTAGCTCATGTCCCCAGAAATACAGTAAGGCTTTTTGCATGGTTTGCATCTTGTGTTACATACATTTTGTTAACTCTTGTTTGTTATTGGATAAAATTTTAAAAAATTACTAGTTTATGTAAAGTTATATTTTTTCAGTCACAATACTGAGAAAACAGTGGTGAGATGAAGTAATTATTATCTATATTGAGGTGCAGTTCTTTTGCCATCAGTTATTTCATCCTTCACCTCTGTATTTGTCAGGCTGAGTTTGCATTCCAGCAAGTAACAGCATGATGCTTTGGGACTTGCTGAATTTTTAGACTGGTGTTTTGTCCCTTTATTTTACTGGTTAGACCACAGAATGTAAATGGAGTATTACCGGGGAGTCTTTGGAGAGCTTACTGTTCATTGCTCTGAAATGGAAATGTATGTGTCAGGAACTCTGTTGTCCCCTGCTGATTTAGGAGACTTTATTACGTGTCAGCCATAGTGTTAGCAGTTCTGCAATAGAGAAATTAAGGGATTTCCCTTTGGGCTTTCTCAAGACTGACTCTTTGACCTGGAAGGCTAACCTGAGACGCTATGTTATTATCTAGAATCACTGTTACTAAGTATCGTAGGATCACATAACCTGGAAAGAACCTTAGGACATCCCTAGTCCAACCCCATACTCAAAGCTGGACCAATCTGGGGGTCAGACAGATTTCCCAGGACTTTATGCATTTGGGTCTTCATGCCCTACAAGGACAGAGACTTGCTTGGCTGCCCTGAGTGAGAAAGCTTTATGTCCTCTCTGAACCTCTCTTGTTTCAACTTACGTGAGTTATCCCTTGTCCTCCTGCCATGCTCCACTGTGATGAGTCTGGCCATCATCTTGTTATGGTCCCCATAGGTACTGGGGGGCTGCTGTTAGGCACCACCAAAGTCTTCCTTTCTCCAAACTGATCAAGTACAGCCTCCCCAGCATCTCCACACAGGGCAAGTGCTCCAGCCTTGACCATCTTGGTGGGCCCTGCTGAGATCCCTCCAGTTAGACAGTGTCTCTCGTGTACCGAGGATCAAAGCTGAATGCAGTGTGACCTGTTGGTCCATTTGTTTAAGAGGTCAGCTGGATTGCAGGTTAGACAAAATTATGGTGACTACTTTTCATAAATGAGTCTTGTTCTTTCTACAGCAATGTTGTTGTTCCCTTGCTATTCAAAATGTTTTGATTTGCAATGGAAATTGTTTCATGCTTCATAACAATAAAGTAGTTATTTTTAAACACCACCACCACAGTTTATACAATGTTTCTGACAGTTCCACCCTTACAGCCATGTGGTAGGGACCTTGCAGGAACCCCCTGTAATGGTGCAGATTGGTTCAGATTTTTCCCTGTCAGTCAGATTTCAGGGATTCTGGGAAAATTATTATCCTGGGATAGTTTGGTTTAGTTTTTTGTGGGTTTTTGTTTTTTTGGGGGGGTTGTTGGGTTGTTTTGTTTGTTTGTTTGTTTGTTTTGGTTTGTTTTTTTTAACCTTGTAGCAAAATTGAAGCATCCAGGATGAAATAATTTAGTCTTTCTGCTAAAATACAATTTCATATAACTAGACAGAGTAGGGTAGAAAACGTAACTTTCCAGAATATTTGCTTGTAGGAAGCTGTTAGCTTGGAAATACCTTCTCTGGTAATTTGGTTTTAAAATTATTTCTGTTTAATGAAATAGCATTAATATCTGCTTAAAAAAATAATCTAGGAATTGTTTTCTTCACAGTGCATATTGCTACCTAAGTTAAAAAATAAATGTATTACTCCTCAAATCTGAGACTCTCTAAAAATCCATGATTTTGTGCAAGTCCATATTGTTTACAGTGATACAAAGTGAAAAAGTTTTATTTCACTTAATTTTTTTCACTGATAGCTATGTGCTGGATATGTGTGATTTGATGTCGTTAGGAACGTTCTTGAAGTCTAAAATGAATACATAGAATCTTTGTACCTCTTTTATCAAAAATAAAACAAAAAAAGGCGTTCTCATGTTTCAAACGGGTTGCTGTGTCCAAACTGGTATTGTGGAATCTGGCTTTGTCTTTTTCTTCCCTAAATTACAGTTAATCAACATACATGTGATAGTTGCTTCTGTTTAAAGCTGTAGCTGCTGCTTCTGAAAAAATACAAGCTTTACAGAAAGAAACTTCAGTCTTTTTGTATAAATATATATATAAAAGATGCAGTGATGAGTGTCATCAGCGTTTCCTCAGGAATTTTTTTTGTTTGGTTATCTCCTAGATTTCCCTAAATGACTTTGAAATCATGAAGGTATTTAAAGAACAGAATTGACTAAAGACTTGGAAACCTTGAAGAATGCTTTTCAATATTTGTAGGAAGATAGAGGTTCCCATCCATTTTCTTTAATTTCTTTAATCACAACAGCTCATTGTTTGCATACTTACCTTACCAGAACAACCTATAAAGTACAAATTGCATTTTCCTAAATGGTAGAGGGATGATTTCCAGCAGAAACCTTAAGGTTACACCATGGCTGTTTCTGTTGAGGCTATACTCTCATTATTTAGTGAACAGTGTACTAAGTGGAATAGTGATCCTAAAATTCTGATGGTATTTATTTTCTGCAGATGTGTGACAGGTGTGTAAGTGATATTGTCAAACACTAAACATGAGTTGTTTTGATTTTTGCATAGGTTTTTATATTTAAAGTCTTACTTATGCATTAATGGCATTGTTTTCAACAGGGTTTTATATATATCACACTTTTAAAACAGTCTTTTGGGCTAGATCCCACTTGTGTGAATCATTTCTTTCTTGCTAAGAAGAGGAGCTTTACAGTTGTGTAGCCAGGGAACAGGGCAGGTGCTCCTAGATGCAGAATGAATGTATAGTGCAAAAATTTACATTTATTGAAGAAGATGCTTTCCCTTTTTAATAATAGTATCACCAGATGTTTTGTTTATCTGTTCTGGCCTTTAATATCCCCACTATATAGATAGAGAGGGAACATTGGGAGTAGTATTAGGAGGTAAATCTGTTACTTCGGTCTTACTGCTACCTATATTACCTTTCACAGTAAAAATAGGTAATATTCAAATTTGGGTTTCAGCAATTTCAGTAATAGAACGAAAATAATAAAGTTTGCTTGAATAGGATTTCAGTACTAGAAAAGGTAAGACTGAAAGAAGCTATGTGTGTGGTTGTTTGTGCTATAAGTCGAGGAATTTGGCATGGTAAATGAATGTGCCACCAGGTAATAATATGGAGCAATTTACAGGCAGCAATTTACTCCTGCAGTCCTGATTAGATGCAAGTGTTGAATTCATATTTTTATTCAGGTGCTTATATGACAAAATCAGATTTTCCTTTCATTTAAAGGAACATGTAAAACTGTAGTCAATGGAACTGTGTTAAATGGGAAAAAACTGGCTGCAAAATAGTGGTATATTCAAAGAAAGGAGGCAGTGAACAGTAACTGGTTTGTATCTTCAAAAATTGCCACAACTGTACAAATCAAAAGTATATCATTAAAGAGAAAACTTAACTTATATCACACTTTTTTTTTTAAGAAAATAAATATTTATGAAATACTTTTAGGGAGCTGGTGCATAAGTGTATCTAGACATGATTCATGTATAAGTTGAAAATTTGAGCATTGCCTGAATTTTAGAAATGCAGAAAGCATTTGAAAAAGCTTCCTCAGTTATAAATGTATAAACGCTATAGTAACATCTTACTGGATATTTAGAAGAGCATAAGGAGGGGTTAAATGACAGGGTGCCTAATTTTTAATTTATTTTTTTTTCTCCATCTACTTCTCAGACAGTAAAAACCATTATGGTTTGTGGCCATCTAGTGGTGAATCCGTTTAAAATACACTAAACCTCTGGCTTTGCTGTGCCGTTTGGGGGGGGGGGCGGGAGGGAGTAATTCAAGTGTATCTTTTTGTCCTTTGCACTAGCAGTATTTTTTGCAGGAGAATAACCTCCATGAAAGTAATTTCTTTCTTTCATTTTGTTTGTCTTTCTCTACAACAAAACAATTTTTGATGTTAGCAGCTAATTTTAATCTCTGTGTGGGTTTCATTTTTATTCTGTAGTTTATAATTTAATGCCCAAGTCATTAGTAGTAGTGAATTTAATGACTAGGCAGAAGTTGATAGATTTTATGAGTTATGTTTCCAACATACAGAATATTCTCTAAAATATTTTTGAAGTATGCACTGATTCTGAAGGGAATTCATATTTCTTAATATCTGTGACTCATAAGAAATTTGACAGACAAGTTACTGGCTTTCCTGCTTAAGTCCTTATTACTAAATTGCCTTGGTAATAACATTTTTCTAGTATTTTTCTTTGAGCAGTGTTTTTTAAATGTCATGGAAAAATTATTCTATCACAAGCAGAAGGGATTACTGCAAACTTCAGTAGGAAACAGTGTAGTAGAAAACTATGGCAGGTCACATCTTGAATGAGATGAGTCTACATACCTTGTGAGACAATGGACTTCTAACGTCTATGAAGTCCCTAACAAATTAAAAACTGAATTTTTTGTTTGTGTAAGAGAAACAATTCAATAAGCATATTAATAACATGTATAAGCATTTGTATTTATTGTTTTCATTAGATAATAGCAAAAATGTAAAAATTCAGTGGTTGCAGTTCTTGGGCTTTTTCCTTAATTGGGAAATGGAATGTCAAATCGGTTTTGTAAAGATTTTGCCTTTACCTTTTGTTTCTTTCATCAAAGTGTCATTTTTACACATCTGACCATTCCAAGTAGCAGTTCCTTGACTTTTCACGATGTTGACATAGAGTTCTGGTCTTTTTCTAATTGCTGTATATATTTTTCCTATTTAATTTGTAGATTTCACCAAGATGACAAATAAGCATAATACAGCAAAACCTATTTAAACTCACTATCCAGCATGCCACCATCCATCCATTAACATTGAACATTGTATCAGGATGGTATTGGGTTAATGTATGTAATGGTTTGTTTCATTTTCAGGTATTTGGAGTGGATGACAGCCAGGATTATAATAGGCCTGTTATCAACGAGAACCAGAAAGATTTAGTAAAAGATTGGGCTATAAATTCTGCTACAGTAGTGCTGGAAGAAAAAAGACCACTGAGTACAACTGGATTTCTTGACACAGAGGTAGAATTTAATTTTTGAAGGTCTTCTTTTTTCTTCCAATAAGAGAGAGCACTAATAACTGACCAGTAAGTGTTAAACAACAAACAAAACCGTGCCTAGAAAGCATTAGCTCAGATGTAAAAGTATTTTACTTTTCTTAGGCCTTTATTGCATTATCACAACTTCTCTGTCTAGAGACGTTACATTTGGAGGTTTTCAACTTTGCTACCTTTCTATGTGCACTAACACCAGTGTATTGGAAATGTAGCAGGAGCTACCTTAGAACCTTATATTGCAACATACATTTGTACAGCATAGGCTTCTTGTAAATTATTCAGCAGAACTGAGGAAAAGCTGATTATGTTTTATAGCCCAAAGCAAGTAACTATATTAAAATTCAAAAATAAGGTGTCTGAATTTAATGCGTGATACAAAGTTAGCTAAGAAAAAAAGTGGTGGATAATACATTTCAGATTTTTTTGCAAAGCCAGAGAGCTCCAGGTTTTTACATTCACAGTTTGAGTTCTCAAGTGAGATGCCACTCATGAGGAGCCACTTGCTTAGGAAGCAGTATAATTTAATCAGTTGGTGAAAGATCAGGAAAAGGAAAATGCCTGTTCTTTATATATGACTCAGAATACGCACGCAAGCTAGATAGATGTTAATTGTATTTCATATTGAAATCTTGGGTGACATTCTGATGTCGTTGTCATGGATAAACTATAACTTGAAATGTGTTGGGAACAGAACAGGCTCATACTGGAGCAGAATTAATCTGTAACAGTAACGAAGCACACGAGTCTTACTTCTACTTGCCATGGCAAACTGTTACTGGAGTATGATCCTGTAAGTTAGCAAACTTCATAAATAATCAAATTTTCTGGAATATATTGAGAGTGTAAAGTATAACTTTGTGTGCCTCCCATGTGAATACATCGGGGTTAGTATCTAGGAATCTCTTCCTCCTAGAGGAGGTCTGCTTTATCATGGTTGTATTTTAGCTGCTGTGCAGTCTTGATACACTATGTTACTGCATCTAGATTAATATCTTTGAATAGTTTCTCTACGCTTTCTGCTTGGAGTAAATTATTGATATACAGCATGTTCATATTATGTGGAAGAATTTGACAAACTTTGGCTTTCACCTTGCTTCTTTGCATGAATCTGTAACTACAATCTCTCTCGTTTTTCATGGCTTTTGCAAGATACAGCTTTTTTGTGCTGTAGCATTTTTCAAGGGTAATAAAAGTAGTGATATTTTCCTTTTTCTATAATTTCACAAGCAGAAAAAGAATATATGATTTATTTTAGGAACATAATCTAGCTTTCCAAGTCTCATAATTTGCATATAATGGGGTTTAATTTTAGAAGATTGAGACTTCTGCAGTCATAAGGCAGGTGTAAGAATCCTTCTGGAAACAGCATGCTAAAACTTGCTTTGATTTATGTTGAAATTACAAGAATTGTGCCTTTTTATTACTGTGGATGCTTTGCTGGATACAAAAGCCTACATACAGTAGGAAGGGAATGGGTTATTGGGTATAGTCTTAATTTACAAGATAACTACAAGAATTGACAGGAAAAAAATAAAATTGATCTGTTGGTAAAGGATCAAAACTGGCAGAAACAATGAATATATAGAAAGTATTAGTGTAAGAAGAGTTGAGGACAGATGAAAACGGAAAAAAAGCTTATCAGAGAAAGTTAAAAATAGAAGTTGGTTGATACATACGTAAAAGAGAAGCTAATTCAGAAAAAAAAATCAGAAAAACAAAGGTGTGTTTTGTAATATGATAATGGGAAAACAATCATAAGAAAACTCTTGAGAGGATATTGTAATATTTCAAGTCATTACTAAAACTTTGTTTTATCATTATGAAAGGGAGAGAGAGAGAGAGAGAGGCCAGCGTGTTTGATTTGTGAAATATGTGGGTATCATGTTCTCATGTACAAACTTTTCTGCTAGTCGTTTTTGGAAGACTTACTGCATTACTAGGCTGCAGATCATAAACTAATAAACCTTGTTGAATATCTTGGCTAAATAGTGGTGGTCTCAGGGTAGCCAGTGTTCCAGCCTTGCATCCACTCAGATTCCGGGTAGACCGTCTTCCAGCTGCCCATCACAGTTGTACCTGTAGATGATTTAGCAGGATGAGGCAAGTGTAGAATATGATTGACAGAAAAAGCAGGGAATAAAAAAATTAAGATATTTCAATTGAGGAAAATGGAAAAGATGGCTTTGGAAATAATGAAGATCCTATAAAAACAATTTTGGGGTTGAAAGATTATTCTGAACTTAAATATCTTAAATTTACAGGGTTTGTGAAGTGTCGTGAATAACATGTTTGGAAAGAACCTTAAAGACTGCTTTTCTTAAAAGGAAATTTTCACCTTTTCCTTGATATGACAAGCTTTGGTACTTGGGAGTAGTGTATGTCATGAGACTAAATTAAATGCAGAGTGCATGTCTGACACAGTTGGATTGAGCCTGCATGCACTGGTTCTTGCCTTTTCAGTGATTACAGATAGGCAGTAAAAATATTAAATCTATCTATTTAAAATATTTAAATGTTTTTATTTTCTATATTATAAGCTGCCACTTGCCAACCGAGGTAAGTGTGATTTAAGAACAAAAATTAAATAAGATAGATAACAGAGAATATTGTTGTTGTTGTTGTTGTTATTTATCCTTACTATGTGAACCTGATGAATAAACACACTGTAGACATTTGGGTCTGATTTATCCATCCAGCTTCCATTTAATTTTCAGTGGTCAGTTGTCTGTGCTAACCACAGTTCTTAAAAAAGCTGTACCTGCTTTAGCAACGTTGTCTGTGGTGTGCTTCTAAGGACATACCTGTTTTTTGTTTGGTTTGTGTTGGAGTTTTTTAAATTTTTGGAAAAAGCTGCTGCACATTTTGAAACCTGGTTCTGCATCTGCGGGGTCACGAATGCCATTAACTGCAACGTTCCTTTCCTGTTTTGAATGCTCGTTTCATGTCTTTCCCACTGAAGAGGAAAGAAATAATACTGCTGACATTCTGAATACTGAATAATTTCATTTGTGTAAATATTTGATATATTGCTTCTTAGAAGTGGAGAACTGCCACGTGTATTCAGAGGCTGTATTTCCTTTTGTTTGTCCTCTCTACTTACAGTAATTTCCTGCCCTTCTGTAGAGCAAATGATTTAGTCTGAAGTTTGATGCTTACTTTTTGGTTGAACTTAGATGCTATACTGAAGCATAGGATGATTGTGTCACTAGTATCATGTGGCTATGAAAAGGCAAATACGACCCTTGGAACAATGTATTGTCAAGTAGAGAAGGGCAGTGTTGTAGCCATGGTGGAAAGTGTTGGTGAAATTTCCTCTGAAGTAGTGACCATAGAATATTTGTCAGCCATGATTAAGAAGGGTGAATACAAGATTAGAGAAGATGCAAAGAGAGCGACTCAGATTATTATAGGCACAGAGATTGACTTTACAAGAATGGATTGATACAATTCATTTAGTATACCAAAGTAGTGGCTGAGATGGATACAGTTGCTGGATTTAGTTGTTTAAGGTAGACGTCAGTGTTGTTCCAGGAACAAATGTAGAGACAGTGGCTGAAAATAAAGTGAGCATGGAAATTTGAAAAAAGATCATCACCCCTGGAATAATATGGTCCTGAAGCAGGTAGAGTGAGGAGGGACTAAAAGAACTGCTATCAAGGCAACACTTCAGTTTATGAAAGGATGGCATGATGCGATTCTTACAGCCATGTGGTGGCTGGAGTATGTGTCTGAAAGGACTTCTTTTTTATTCAGCTTGTGGAAATTTATTTTAAAAAGAAAAAATATTATTTTGCTTTGAAATGCCAAGTATGGAGATGCTTCCAGGTGTCCTGTGTGTGCGCTGTGAAGTTTTTTCAGATGTACAGCCTGAAGTCCTAAATCTTCAGGCTGGAACAATAAATCCACAGAAATCCATTGGTCCGTTTTCTGAAGATCTGTTAGTCCAGTTTAGTTTGTATATGCAATAAGCAAAAGGGAAAGCAGATTTAACATGGAAGTTGAAATGTTGGCATCTCTTACATGAACCCAGCTCCTCTGGAAGACTAGGAAATTCCTTTTGGTATTCAAGAGATTTGGAGGATTGCTTGCTTTCCTGTAAATGGGTATGGATTATAGAAAGAACATTAGGATAACTGGCTGTGGCTTTTTTAATGTGTGTTTTATAAACCTTTCACCTTTCAGTTGTGCTTAAACTACTATCAAAAGGAACTGCTTTTCATTGTTCTGTATTTTCTGCTTTGGTATATAGAGTTGTCAGAATACACATTTATATCCACTGCTAAGTAGAAAACTTTTTCAGTGTGATTATTTTCAGAGAAAAGTAATTTCTTATGTTGGTTTGTTACAGTTAATCTGCAAAGTTTTAATGTATTTCTCTATTGTGAAGTAGAATTCAGATTTCCACTACATATCATATCTCTAGCTCTGGAATTGGCTAGGCAGTACATAAGGAGGTAGTCGGTGTTTTCTGTACTAAAGGTAGTGGGGATGTCTATCATATTTGGGTTTGGTTGTAATTAGTAGGTTTATTGAAGATGGAAGTTCACTATTACAGAGAGGAAATAGAGAAAGTTTAGAGATATGAAGGAAAAATGAGGCTTCATCAGTAACTGTCAATCTGTAAATGCTGCACATATTTGCGTGGGGGTTTTGTAATATTTTTTTCTAGCACCCTTTTCCTTGTATTGTGTTCGGAAATGCCAATGAATAACACTTCAGTTCAGTTGTCTCTCTTTGCTGTTATTAGACTTGAATTTTATAACATTTTGACTCTTAAGAAATTAATTCACAATGTGGAAATTTATATAATAATTTAAATAAATTATTTGGTGCATCTCTGACTTACTATATTCATAATATCCCGAAAGAGATTTGTGATGTTCCAATTGTGTGCATTAATTATGGTCATTCGTTTAACTAGGAGAAATGTCTTCTCAAATGCCTAAGTCAATTTAATTTGAAGGGGGTTACACCAGATGACACTGTTCACCATTCTGTTGCTGCTAAATAAATCTTAGAAAATGTATAGAGTTGGCTCCTGGTCAAAGACTAGAATCCCTGAGTGGCTAAGGGATTAGGCAGAAATCAGTGTTTTGAATAGTAGTGCCATGATATGAACAGGCAACAGAGCTCCAGCTAACTTTTGAAATAACTCCTACAAATCTCCTTATGAAGCAATTTATGGTTTCTCCATGTCCTTTCCATCTTGTTGGTCTTGAATTGTGATTTCTCATTCGACTTGCCTATGGTTATGTAACTCCTTTGGAACTGTAGTCAAGAAGTTCTGTCGTTTGCAGTGCTTTGTCTTTTGAGTCCAATAAATTAGACTATGTAAACTTCTGTATAGTCTTTGACAGTGTACACCCCGCCATATGTGCATGTGCAGGTGCACATATATATACATCAACAGTTGCCTGCTGTCTTTTTGGGGAGATGTGAGCAAGAGAGACTACAATATAGTGGGTGAAACAGTAATATTACATTAGATTTGGAAATAAGGGTTTGGGGTTTTTTTGTTCTGGTTTGTTTGTTTTTTAATTCCTTAAGATACTATAACAACACGAGAAGATGATTTAGTTTTATATTTACTTTTTTTACATATTAAAGCTTTTCAAGGGTTCAAAAGACTTACCGTCAAGGAAGTAAGTTAATTTCGTTTCTAGGTCAGCTGCAAAAAATTATCTGATACTGGTGACATTAACTTCATAGTTACCTGGTAGGATGGATTAAAACTAACTGTTGCTTCCTTTTTTTTTTTTTTTGTTTGGGCCAAACAAATAATCTGATCTTCCTTTCCTTTCCACCATAAGTTATCTTACTCTTTTAGTCCTTAAGGTAGTCTTTCTGTAATGTAGTAAATCTAATAGTTCATCTGGACAAGGAGGTCTTCTAAGCTGGTAAGATGTCACTTTCTTGGCTTCCTTAAACACATTTTTAAAGTTAACACACGCACTGTCACACCCCATTTCTGCTTTTCTGAGCTGAGGACTGAAATAACCGTTTTAAAACTCACATGTTTTATAGAGGTTCTGGTGTTTAACAGTTCAATGCACTAGGATATGTTCTTTATTCAGTGCCAGTTGTGCAGCTATATAGACTTTGTTTGCCATTCTAGAGATGGTAACTGTAAAACATACCACAGTAAATTCCTTCAACTTCTTTCAGGGAAATAGTTTCTGACAGGAGAAACTCGGAAAAGCGGCATGCTTTTTATCAAACTGTTGTAATTTTCCTTTTTCTTTTCTTCTTCCTTAGGGAGGTTCTACTGCCCCTGGAACTAAGCGTTGGGTATCACAGTGGGCCAGTTTGGCTGCTAATCACACACGTCATGACCAAGATGACATCAGACTGGAGACATCTGTGTCTCTTCCACTAGAAAACGGTATAAAAAGCTGGTTTTGTCATAATTTCTTCTGAAGAAACCTATGAAAGGGAGGAAAGAGTACCTACATAAACAGCTTTCTTACTCTTAGTACCTGTTTTATTTTTTATGAGTACCTATTTTATTTTTTAGGCTGATACTTGTGAATTATGGTGGAGTTAGTATACCTCTTCAATATAAAATGTACTAGTAACTACAAAGGGACATCATGTTAATGAATGCTTCTTATTCTGGAAATTATATGCTGTTTACTGATCAAGAAGTAACTAATTATTAGTCATCTACTACAGATATTTTTTTTCCTACCATTCCAGCATTTCCTCTTATTCCAGGTGAATTTGAAATTTTCAGCATCAAAGAAAAGTTTAATAGTTCAGGTAAAAAAAAAAAAGTATGGTTTAGAAGTAGAAATGCTTTTGTGTGTACACTGCTTCTGAAGATATACTGCTATTGACAGAACATGTACAATATCCGTATATCAGAAATTGGTGAGTAATCTTTTTTCTCCTATAGTTTTGAGCAGCTTTTTAGGGTTTTTTCTTTTTCATTCTCCCAAAAAACAGTTACATTGAGAAGTGTAATGTGTCTTCTGTACTTTTTTGTTACAGCTGCTGTCTGTATTTGTCAAGAATCTATGTCTGTTACAATTTCAGAGCTAGCCTCATCTTTGACCTTTAAGTTAGCCTCTCAGAAGACTGCGTTTTTAGCTGACAAACCCAAATCTTTACTGCTCTCAGAGTGGAACCATGTGATTCTCTCCCCGCTTAGACTGAAAATCTAGTCCTATCACTATGCTCAGTACTCAGACCTGTTGCAGAGAAAAAAGTTGCCTTAGTTCTTTGGGTATTTGTGTTGAGGACCAACCTTCTCAGATCAACTCTGTCTTTTCCTACTGAAGACTCTGAAATTCACCAAGAAACAAGTTACATGCTTAAATATATGTAAAAGATTGGATCTGGTAGGTCTGTCTGAGAGAAGTCAATCTTCTTGGATAGCAGTCATATTGATTTTTATTAACCTCCATTTTTTTAATAATTTCTGAGAAAAACAGTCTAGGAATTAGGAAACCTTCCATAGATTCCAGAGATACCACATGTTTCTCAAATGAGTGTCCTTGCACAAATTATACAAAAAAAATGTGAGTCATTTAGCATTCTTCATCAAAGGTGTGGTACTGTGCAAAGAGAAAAGAAAGGTTGAAGGGCTCAGAAAGTAGCAAATATTTGTAATTGTACAATATGTACAACTGTATACAAACAGTATGGTGGTTGTTATTCAGTTAAGTGCTTAGAGAATTCTTGTAGAGAGGTGTCCTGGGTTCAGCAGTAGCAGTCATTTTTCTCCTTAGTAGATGGTGCAGTGCTGTGGTTTTAACTTTCAGCTTGGGAACAGCACTGATAACACGGATGTTTTTAGTTGCTGCTCAGTAATGTTTACTCTGACCAAGGAGTTTCTGAGTCTCATGCTCTGCCAGGGAGGAGGGGAAGCTAGGAGGAAGCAGACAGAACACCTGACCCTAACTAGCCAAAGAGGTATTCCATACCACAGCACATCATGCCCAGAATATAAACTGGGGGCAGTTACCCAGAAGGGCTAGATTGCTGCTCAGATTGGGCTGGGTATTCGTCACTGGGTGGTGAGCGGTTGTATTCGCTTCCCTTGTTATTTCCCTTATCACTATTATTATTGGTGGTAGCAGCAGTGGTTTGTGTTATACCTTAGTAACTGGACTGTTCTTATCTCAACCTGTGGGAGATGCATTCTTCTGATTCTCCTCCCCATCCCTCTGGGAGCAGGGGGAGGAAGAAGGGGAGGAGGGGAGTGAGTGGCTGCATGGTTCTGAGTTACTGACTGGGCTTAAGCCATGACAAGAGGGAAGCCCTGTATTCCAGTTTGTATTCCTGGAACAGCCAATGCTGGTGCAAGCCTTGATAGAAAGATTCCCAACAAGGTACTTAGAACTGTTGTTTATAGATCTCTCCTGGTGTAAAGTGAATTGGCAGATGTATGTTAGTACATATGTCACATTATATTGCAACAACTGGTAAACAAACTGCAAAAAGAATTATTTTCTGTTCAAACACTGAAAGTCAGAGCAATTCATAGAGCAATTCGTATTATCTCTGTATGTGCTTGTTTCTGACAGAGTAACTGCTATGTATGTTGAACAGGCAAGGAGGGCACAGTCATGATGGAAAAATAAAATTTCATTTCTAAAATGGGATTATTCAGTATTAATTACTCCTTGCAACTGTTCATGGGATGGCCACGTTTTCCCAACTAAGGAAAAATACGTATCCACTGAGAATTCAATGAAAGCACTTTAGCAGTAGTATTGCAACATCTATTGATGCTTTTTATACATTTTTCTATATATTTCTATCTACAGTGTCTTGTTTGGGTTAAAAACATTATTTTTGCTCTCTCAACCATAGTAAGTTCTTTCTTCATGAGTGGGGCTTTTCAGTACTGCTGAAAGAATGTCCCATGGGGAAAGGCTGTAGACTTTTGTTGAGACAAGACCTTGAACTGTGGAACAGGCAAGTAGTGAGGAAGGAGGGGAATCTTACTCATTCAGTAGCTTTGAAATCTGGTGTTATATGTGTTCATACCTTGTAATGGTATGCTGATGTACCAGTGATTTGTTTTGTACCTATTTTAATTTACTGCAAGAGTGTAAAAATTTTACATTAATATATATGGTCCAGTGTACACAGCTGGCTAAAAGAGAGTGATTTGAGGGATAGCATATCTTATGTAGCTCAAAATCTTGAATCTATAAAAAGGAAAGTGAGAGCAGTCGTAGCCCATATTATGGAACATGCTTACTGAGATTACAGTGAAGCAGGGAAAAAATACCATAGTCCCTATGTAAGAATGCCACAAATGTTCACTTTCGCAGTGTACAGCCACAGAGTGTCAGCAGGGTACTAAGTAGCCCAGGATGCCACACAAGCAGGCAATTGTTCAATTACAATCAACCTTATCCATGTTTGGGAAGAAATTCTGTTTGTAGCAGAGCTGGAAGACAGGGTATTGTTCTCTCTTTGCACTCTTACCCTGCTTCTCAAATGACTCCTTCCCTTTTCCTTCAGTATGCTAGTGTTCTGAAGTACACGTTCAGAAGATGGCCTTTTGTGTCCTGTTCGCATCTCTGTGATAAACCAGAATTAGTTCATTGCAGTAATTCCATTGTGACAGTTTAGAGATTGCTTTCATACATAGATACATGTTCTGTATCAGCACTTTGGATTGTGTAGAATTAACTGTTCTCTTGTATGACACTGTAACCATTCTAGTAATAGAGAAGTATTTTTTTATGTATGTAATCACTTTTATCAGCAGATACCTGTTCTAAACTATGTTAGCACATGACTTGGCTCAAATTCTTAATACAAAATGTATTGGAAGAGTGAAATGAAATAATATAGCTAGTTACATGCAACTTTATAGTTTGGAGGTAGTTAATGTTAAGTCACAAACAGAATTCCCACTCTTTCGTACGATGAGTGTTTCCAGTCTTTCCTGCAAACAGGAAATGATGCCAGTAATGGACTAAATTGGAGAAAGTCCAGCACATGTTAAAGAATACAAACATTATCTTAAAAGTTTTCTACCCCAGCAACTTACAGGGATAGTCAAACCTCCATCAGCTGAGACTTTTAAGAACTTGTTAAATGTTTTTAAACATTTATTTGTCTAATTGATGCTGCTGTAGAACAGAGGGACGGACTGACTTTATTCAGTTGTGCTTTATGTTGGTACGTTAGTCTTACCTTAATATTCTTACCTTGCTGTTGAATGAATTCTCACGTATTTTTTTCATTTTTAGACGCAGACTTCAGTGAGTCTGGTCTTTCTGTTAGAAGCACTGGTTCAGCTGCTTCCATGACCAGCCAAGGTGAGCGAAAGAGGAGGACGCTTCCACAGCTTCCCAAAGAGGAGAAAGTGAACGAAAGCTCAAAAGTAAAACCCACATCTCATCAGAGATCAGAAATAGGTGAAAAGCAAGACACTGAACTTCAGGAGAAGGAAACTCCAGCTCGTCCCTCAGATGCTGATAGCAGAAGTGTAGCTAAGTCCAGCAAAACAATGAATGGTCTTTCGCCCAAAGCTACTGGAGACAAAGTTTTTTCTTTCCCCAGCTGTTCCAGTAAAGAGCGAGTTGAAACTGGCAGAGAAACTTCTGTGGTGAAACAGGCTTTAGCAAAAATTCAGCAACAAGAAAGAAAGGAGCAAGGACACTGGACACCCACAAAATTATCCTCTACAAAAGCTGCTGCAAACCAAGTTGAGAAAGGTAGGGAGGAGATCACTATGTCACCCAAAACTTCAGGTAATCAAGACAGAGCTCCTGCACACATTACAGATAAGGCAGAAATAAAGTTGGTTCAGAGTGAGGGAAAAAGAAGAAAAAATGAGGAAACTATTAAAGGACAAACTCCTAAACCATCTGGAGGAGAAAAAAAGGAATCTTCAAAACCATTAGTGAGGCAAGGTAGCTTTACTATAGATAAGCCTAGCACAAATATACCTATAGAACTTATTCCTCACATCAATAAGCAAAGTGGATCTGCTGCCCCTTTAACATCTGCAAACAGGATACGTGACAGAAGTGATTCAATGGACACTGATTCCAGTCTAGATACAACACTCATTTTAAAAGACACAGAAGCTGTAATGGCTTTCCTTGAAGCTAAATTGCGTGAAGAAAATAAAACTGATGAAGGTCCAGAAACTCCAAGCTACAACAGAGATAATTCCATCTCACCAGAATCTGATGTAGATACAGCCAGCACAATCAGTCTTGTTACTGGTGACTCTGAAAGGAAATCCACACAGAAGCGCAAGACCTTTACAACCTTATATAAAGATAGATGCTCCTCTGGTTCTCCTTCAAAGGATGTTTTAAAATCTTCTGCAACAAGTGCCAGAGAAAAGATGGAAAAGAAAAGTAAAAGTCGGTCTTCAGATGGTGGCTCTAGAGCTGACGCTCGCAAAGCTGTGCAGTCCAGTGGAAGAATGAGACAACCATCAGTAGATTTGACAGATGATGACCAAACATCTAGTGTACCTCATTCTGCCATTTCTGATATCTTATCATCTGACCAGGAAACCTACTCTGGCAAATCACACGGAAGAGTTCCTTTTGCCTCAGCAGATGAACTTTTACATTCCAAGATGGAAGGAAAGTCAGCTAAATCAAAAACTTCTCCTGTTGCAGTTGGGCAGTCTAGTAAATCTACCACTCTTCCAAGACCTCGTCCTACAAGGACTTCTCTCTTGCGCAGAGCACGGCTTGGTGAAGCCTCCGATAGCGAGCTTGCTGATGCCGATAAGGCTTCAGTGGCTTCCGAAGTGTCCACTACAAGTTCTACGTCAAAACCTCCATCAGGGAGGAGAGGTATTTCCAGAATAGACTTACTTGCTCAACCGCGCAGAAACCGACTTGGCTCTTTATCAGCACGTAGTGATTCTGAAGCAACAATAACTAGAAGCACTGCCTCATCTCGTACCCCAGAGGCTATTCTCAGAAGTAGTGCCAGGCTAGCATCAGCAGGAGATAGTAGTAAAGTTTCTGCTAGAACTCGTGCCAATAGCATTTCTCGACTTTCAGATTCAAAATCCAGATCTTTGGCTTCAGCTCATAATTCTCCCTCAGGTACGTGACACTATTTGAACTAGTTTTGTCCAATTTTTTTCATATATGGATTTTTTTATTATCATTATGTTTGTAAGTAACAGTTCTTAAGAAGCATTTGTTGAGTTTTTATTAATGGAGACTTTCTCCTTGGAGTATGAGACTTCCTTGGCAGGGCTTATGGACAATTCTCATTTAAAATTATAAAACCAAGATATTACAATTCTTTAACTCTTTGGTTATTGTTTTAAACTTGTAACCAGTAACAAAGAATTGCATTGAGGCATTTGGATGTGGCAGCATTAGTACAAAACCACAACAGGTATCTCTTTACTCAAGTCACAGTAGTGGAAGTTCAGAACTACATAGAAGATGCAATATTTATTTGTAAGATAGGCTTGTAAGTATGCTGAACAACAAATGTTTCCTGAGGTATCTGTAGGATAACTGTAATTTATAATTTAAGATTAGCTTCCAGAACTACGAGAGTGAGAATTGTTTGGTAAGAGTAATAACAAGGTAGATATGGAAAAATTAAACTCAAACACTACCTAAATACTGTAAAGTCATTTATATTAAAATGTATGCCTTGTCTTGGAGTAGTTTCTGTTCTCTGTTCCAAATCTTGACAATTTATGATTTCATCATGATTTTCAAAATATGTTCATCTCCTTTTGTGTTCCTTTACAGTAATATTATGTGTGGAAGGAAAAATCAGTTGATTAATTTTAACTACTGTTCTGTTAGAAGTGAAGATAATACTTTTAGTGCAAGCACTGTGAAAGAGTGCCAGCTTTTTTACAACAGCAATATTAAATTAACTAAAACTAAAATGAGTTAATTCTAAAATAAGTGAACTTTCATGTGGAGTGAATATCTAAAATTGATGGCCTCTTGCTTTTTGAATTGTCATGCTAACGACTTTATTTGAAGCTGATCCACAATTTAAGAAAAGTATAAATAGAATAGTTTCCAGTGTTGTGTGTTGCTGCTGAAATTATATATTGCCCTTTATTCCTTCCCATTCAGACTTGATATAAACATCTGTGATAAGTTTCCCACAGTCCTACTACTCTTTTGATGCTTGTATATCGTAAATGTACCTTAGGATTCTCGACAGTGTTCATTCCCTGGCTAGGTATCTTTTGGTTGTTTCATTAGCTGAATAGAAATTTCTGTAGAGATACTAATGAGGTATTCACTGAACTATGAATTTGAATCTGTTTAGTGTTATGACGGGTGTCTACAAAGATTAAAACAAAAAAGTGAAACTTCAGAAAAAAACCTCAGCCTTTGTAAGATATCATTGGAAAAGTAGCATGTGTTCAATTTTAATTTAAGTTTTAAATTGACATGTGCAGCCTGAAAGAGTGGCAACATTAGGTCAAGGAAGACTGTCAGTTAAGACTGCTTTTATATATTTAACAGTTAGCACTAGTTCACATTGTGATATTCCTGTCACTTCACTGCTGCTTGTTTTTCACAAAACTATATATGGATTTTGAGTTTTGTGTCCATGTGCACTATTGCATGCTTCCTAATTTTTTCCCAGGTTGCTGCATTGAAATGATTTGCTGCTTTTGTTCAAGGGAGCGGGTGTATGTTGCTCTGCCCAGTGTTATTAGGTTATCACAGTTGCCTTTGTTAAACATTCCTTACATTTACCTGCATTACACAAAGTTTACTGTAGCTTGTATAAAATACTCTTTTCAGGAAAGAAAAGATGCCATCCTTGAGCTACCCCAACCTAACAAGCTAGGTATTTTTAAAAGACTGTTGTTAGAAAAATCTACAGTAGAAATAGCTTCTGTCATGTAACACATCATCAGTTTACGCGTCAAACTTGGGGAGAAGCCAGTATCAGTGTAAAGGTGAAAAAATCTGAAAGCAATTAATAAGTCATTCAGATACTTTCAAAACAGAATCATGGCATAATAAATTAATCAAGTCTTGTTACTAAGGAAAGAATGTTTTTACTACTTTTTAGGATTTGGAGTTCTGGGTTTTGCCTGTATCAGTAAGCTGATTGTATAATTTTTTTTTACTCGTCTATTGAGAGTATACATTAGGAAAATCTGATCTCCTTTAAAAGTGGCATAGTCTTCTAGTATATGTAAGACTGCGTGTATACGTATATATCTCCTATCATATATAGGGTACTAGTCAGTCATTTTCCCTTTAGCATCTTATACAGTGATGCTAATAACTACCCAACACATTAAGCTATTAATAATATTATTTATTTTATCCTTGCATAAAAGTATTTAAAATATCTTTTAAAGGAATGTGGTAATTCTGTGCAATATATAAAAATAGAATGTTAGCAGAAGCTTTTCAATCCAAAGCATGTAATTCCTGAATTTAATTTTGTTTCTGGAAATGTCAACAATTCACTTAATTTTAACACTTTAGGAAATTACTAATGAAGTACCTGATGCAAGTGCATCAACTGTTTGAGTGTGTCTTACTTCAGACACATTTAATCAAGGCGTAACAGTAATGCACTTTCCTCTCTCCTTGGACCTAGAAAGACTGGAAAATGAATGATCATTACCGAGATAGAGTTTGTTGGCTTGGTTTGATTTTTTTTCTTATCTTTTACCAGAAAACTTGTTGCTATTGTCTTCTCAACAGAGATCAGTTAATTTTACCATATTGTAGATCACTAACCATTGGCAGGAGAATCCTGCTTCTTCAATCCAGTCTATCAAAGAGAAAATTATTTCCACGTTTCCCAAATCTTTTTAAATGATCAGACATACATCCCTGTAAAACAGGGGCAAAAAAAAAGGCATCCTTTTAAATGAGAGGGCAAGCAGATAAATGGAATGTTTTGGATGAGAATTACCAGCATTAAATAATTACCAGGGTGTTTCTGTGGTAGGAGGCTTGGTAGCTGACAGCACTGTGAAGACATGTGAAGCAGAATTAGGATTTTTTTTACTGAAAGCAGTGAAAGATTTAATCAAGGCTGAATCATCAAATAGTAGAGTGTGATCAATAAAAACAGAGAAGACCAAAGACCTTTTTTCACAATTGCAGAGGAAAGTTGATGTTACAGAAGGGGCTATTTACTGGGAAAATTAAAACAGGATCAGACCTAGTGCAGAAGTGCAACTGTAAAATTAAGCAGTGAGTCAGAGTATAGAGACCTTGAACAACTAGTTGTGTTCAGTGCCTTTGCTGGCTTGCTGATCTAAATGTCATTGCGAATAACTAGCAGATAAGTTGATCAAAGCTGTTGGGGGAGAAAAAAAGAAAGAAAAAGGGGAAAAAATTGAACATGGAGAGAAAACAACCCTTATTCCAGGATCTTTGAAAAGTGTGAACCTTGAGAAGGCATCAGTGAGAGTGTATTATAAGAGAGAGGCTTAATGAAGTCTGTCCTTAGGTCTTAAGTGACCTGATTATGGTGTCCAAATGGTCAAAATTGCCAGCTTAAGGTGCTGTCAACACGTTATACTTCTAGAGTAGTCCCCAAATCAGGTTGGTCTGCTGATTACTTTAGCCAGAGTTTTGGAGGGATTTGTAACTATTGTTGGTACTGATATTCACAATCTTTGCTGTGTAAGATAACTTGCATGATAGCTTCCAGAAATCTGCGTAAACTACAATGACATATTGGGGCTGCTTAATTTAGAAATAGTATTAAAAGCATATATGTGAGAATATATCGCTAGCATAAAGGGAAACATGCTTGGATATTGCTTGTCGTGAGTTGTACAACTTTGAGATATTTACTGTTACGCTTGCAATAACTTCTTCCGTATATTAATGAGAGACTCATTAATAATATATAAACAACATTTTAAGGCCTTAAAATCTAATGACCTTAAAAAAATGTAGAGGGATTTTATGATACAATGTGGACAGTTATTGATGTTACTTCAGTTAGTGTCTCTGAAATGTTTACACTTTCATAAAATTTGGATTTTTTGATTGAATATAATTTAAGAATCTTTTCCTAAAAAGTGTGGGTGGAAAAGAGGATCTAAGATTAATTCATCAATATATTTTTTTTAAGCATATGCTTCTAATCTGAATGTTTTAATACGAATTAACATGATAAAACACTATTTTGTACACAGAGAAATCCAAGCTTCTCCCAGACCCAGATCCTGATGTTGAAACTTACAGTGGTAGAGTACTAGAAATCAAATCTGTTTCTGATATTTCACTTCTCATTCAGTTTTTAGTTTTTAAATATATGATGACATATGCTCATTGTACAGTGCTGAGTTGCTGGACTAGCTCACTTAAGAGGTTTAAGATAAGTTTTATATTTATTTTGATGCATATAATTTGAACTGGGACAAAGAATTTAAACAAAAAAATGATGGTAAAATGTGGGCCCAACTCATAAACTCTTTGGATTTCAGTCACACATTGCTTGCATGCCACTGGTGGGGAAATGTGCTTTTTCTGCTTATGTTCTACTTCCCTAAGATCAAAAGAAGTTTGAAACCTCTGAAAAGAGAAGAGTAGGTGACTGGAGAGACATTTTCTTCAATAAAGTTATTGAAAAAATTAGTAGATTTGGACTTGATTTGAAGTCCACATTTAAACATGAATAAAATTCTAGCAGTATATTCTGTTTTCAGTGATTAAAAAAGCATTATTTATATGAGGGAAGGGATGTAAGCTTATACACCAAGCTAATTTTTCTACATACTGTAATTTTTAAAAGCATTCCACAAATCTTTTCACAACCAAAAATTACTTTAACTATTTGTTACATAAATTCATATTGATGTATACCTCTTTTATAATGTGTTTTAAAATGTTTCAGGCGAAATCATTATTACTTCTTGCATTTTTCTTATACTAATCCAAATATACATTACTCAAATCTATTCCTCTTAAATTACCAGAAGATGATCACATACTTCTTAAAATTTGTACAGTAATTACAGAGCCTCATGAATGTCAGTGACTGGGGGGATAAGTCCCCTGCAACAATTTAGCAGGTTGTCATGATGAGAATTCCTTTACACTTAGTTCTGTCTCTTCCTGTTGGAAATGTTTGAGGACAGAATATCCGAAATGCATTTTCTACACTTTAATACTTCACAGGGGGACAATAGCCTCCTACTTAGTTTCAGTTCTCTTACACTTCAGGCTCTCTTCAGGCAACATGGCCGTATGTGCTTTATGTGCTACATGTGAGAATATATGGGCTTTTCTCTGAGGCTGCTGTTTTTGTAGATGTGTTATTGATTTTTATAACACTTAATTTAAACGTATTTTTTTTTCTGTACTAAATACATAGTGCATCATCTAGGATATATATGCTTTCCTTAAGTAAGCATTCATTCCAAGCTTGGTGCCAGCTCCATCCTTCCTTCGTATCTCTTTGTTTTTATGTATCATGTAAATCATGAATGAAACCTGGGAAAAAATCTGCAGAAAAAGTGCAATCTGACTATATACTTAAATGTTAATGAATTGGGCCCTTGTTTTGTAATGCAGTTTGCTTGACCTCGTATGCAGTTACTGGCTTTTATATCTTATTTCACTCATCATTATACAAAGAGCATCCGTTTTATGTTTCTATTAATACTTATTATTTAACACAAATTTTGTAGCTTTCTTTTTAAGATGTAGTAAATAAACCTTTTGTGAGGTATCTGGGGATTGGTAATGACTAGTTGTGTACTTCTGTGATGTTACTAAAATAGTACTGTTTTTTCTTATTAAAGTTGCAATAATAATTCTTTTTTAACAATTAAACTAATTTAGTAAGTGCAAGATGGAGGCGCTTTCCTACAGATTATGCTTCCACCTCAGAAGATGAATTTGGATCAAACCGTAATTCTCCTAAACATGCCCGTCTGCGTGCTTCTCCAGCCCTGAAAACCACACGACTGCAGAGCACTGGGACAGCAGCTCAAAGTAGCAATACATTCAAGCACAGAATAAAGGAACAGGAAGACTATATTCGTGACTGGACTGCCCACCGAGAAGAAATAGCAAGGTTAGTTTTAAAGGAGTGCCTCTAAAATGACAACGATTTGTGCTCAGCTGGTTGTACAGGTACATACAGAAGAGAAAGAGGGTTAATGGATTTTCTGTACCACTCACTGTTTTTATTCTCTAAGTGAATGGGTAATTCAAAGTTCTCATGAGACTGGCAGACAGAGCACTCATGTTACCAGCACATTCTTTCTAATGGAAAATGATAGTCGTTTCTGACTTATGATAGCCAGATTGAAAAAATGAACTTCTGATTGCATTAGTGGGGCTTGTAGAAGTCATCTGTGGTAATGGTGTATTTCCCGACTTTGAAGTATATCTGATTTTGTACTACCCTTACGTTCATACTGAGGTAAGATTTCAGATCAATGCATATGTGAAGGAGAGGAGAAAGTGATTTTGGCAGTGTGAGACACCACGTTCTCATTTTAATTTTTTTATCTAGACATTATTTCATGATAGATATTTTCAGATTTAAGTCATGCATACTCATCAAAAAGTAATTTCTTTTATTGCAAGTACCCAAGATTAGTATAGCAATTCTTCCATTATTGCTAAGTACTCTTCTTCAGATGAACCAAAGAAATGTTCAACATTCTGGTACTCCATTATTCCCATATCATGCAGTACCCAGGCAGTGGAAGCTTCCAATAGCTTGCACTAGATAACGTTTATATATTTGCATAGTTTTATTTATCTAAAACTTAGATGCCAGTGTCCGGGTTCTGAAGTTTTTAACAGAACTTGATTTGGAAGCCTAAACAAGGAAAGTGTTTTCCTTTTAAAATTAATACTGTGGTGTCACAGATGTGAAGCATTGCATTTTGCTTAGTGTGATTGGTTATTTTTTGTTTCCTCTTGTTGCTGTTTTTCAACATTTGTTTTTCTAGTATTGTCTGTGCAAAAGGAAAATACTTAAGGGAATCTGATAGCACCTTGATAAATCATAAAATAAACATCTTCAAAGCATCTTTCTAAAACATATCTAGAGTTAGGGATGGATCTAGGGAGGAATGTGTGTATCTGGAGGAAAAAATTATACCCATAGCATATTATTTTGTCCATATAAGAATTGCTGTTGAACCTCTACTTCAGTGAAACTTCTTGGTACATTTTACTTCTGTAGGAGAGATTAATGCTGGAAGTAACTGACTATCCATTCTCAACTTACTTGATGATTAGGTGTGTAGGGCTTTTTTCCCCCTTGCGCTTCATACCATTTTCTTCATTTAGGCACTGGTTTTAAATTTGTTTTAAAGGTCATGTACGTACCCTGCCTTTTTCACCTTCTTTAATTCCGTTGGAAGTAGAGGTACAAATTGGTATTGACCAATTTGTGATGATGTGTGGAAAACAAACTGCATTAAAAGAGTGTGTTTTACGTTAAAAAAGCTAGCACTCAGCAGTTGAGAAGTGCCAGGCTACTGTCATCTATTGTCACTGCTTAAGATGCCAGTTTCCTTGGTTAGCCTTTGCTGAGCCCCCCCTGCTCTAGGTCACTAGTTGATGCTTTCTGTACATCTGTATCTCTTTGTACTGAAGCAAAATATTGCTCCTCTGGCTTTTAAGTTTAACTTTTGTCCTTTTTAAGATATTTTTGCCCCTGCTCCCTTTTCCTTGCTAACTATAGTTTGCCCTCTATTATTGTCTACCCTGTAGGGGTGGTTTTTTTCCTTCCCAGCCTTTAGTCCCGCCTCCATGATCACAGTCCCTTCAACTCTGTTTAGAGTTTTTAAAAAAGTAATAGACAGTTGTATATTCTCATTAAAACTGATTGATTTATTTTGCTCATGTTGTATAACTGATTAGGTTAGGCAGGTGTAAAGATAATTCCATAAAACAAATGTGGAACAGAAAGTAGTGTGGAGACTGTATGACAAATATTTCATTGCATCCATGTACCATCATACTGCATTTTAACTGGTCTTCCAAGATTGACCCAGTTTGCACTTTTTATGGAGTCTACAATTTACAGATGTTAATAAAATTGAAAATCGGAAAGTGATGTTTGTAAAGGCTTAATGGAATAACTAAATTTTATTTAAAACTACTTTGGCCTGGAGGATACACCCTCAGAATAACAGGAGCTTCACATATGTTTTATTTAAGGATTTTAAAGTATCATTACAAAATAAACTGACTTAATGTAGGAAGTGTGACATAGTGAAGTAAGCATAAGAACGGTTTTGGTAATCTAGCAGTTCAGAACTTTTATGGGTACCTTAAAAGTATTCCTATTTCATTGTGTTTTTCTAATACTATGGATGTTCTTTCAATACAGGTAAAAACTGTCGAAACTATTTCCTGGAGCAGGGTATGGGGGCTTAGGGAATTTGAGTCTTATTTTAGTTTTGCCTCCCTGCGTTAATTTGCCTTGTATGATTGCTAGGTCTGATGCAGGAAGCACTAGAAATCTGCAAGGTAACCTACTGTTGCAAGTGAGTAAATAGTGCGTTACCTAAAGCCTAAGTCTCATGTTCCTGATTATACAAAACATATTCCTTAAGCAATACTTTCTGTTTCTAAAAGTTAACATAGAATTACTTGAAAACTTCATTTATGAAAAGTGAGGCCCAACTCTCGGATGGCTTTTGATTTTCTGTTTCATAGTGCTTTTTGTTTAGTGCTCTCTGCTGTTTCTGTACAGAAACATTGAGTACTGACTATAGCTTACTATCAAGTTGAAACTCATTCCAGATTTTGTTCACTTGACTAGTATTTGACTATGATGTTGGTCTAACAAGTTCTTTGCCATCCATATTAGAGTTGTTTATTATGATATTTTCAAGATCCATTTAAATTCATTTTTACGTAGACATCTGACATTTTATGTAATTTTGTTTTCTTGGTAAGAACTCAGTTGAAGCGGCTGTGGCATGCTGAAGCATTGCTGATTTCTGTGGAGAGTTAAGTCTTGATTGATAGTACTTTTCATTATGGTGTTTAATGACATTTGTCTTCTGGAGGATATACTGAAAATTGAGATTTCCTGGGGTTTATTTTCCTAACAACTATTCATTAAATACCCAAATTTGTCACAGAAATTAAATGTGATTGTTAGCAACTTGTGTGTTTAAGGAAAAAAGTGATACGATTGTGTGAAAAAAAGGAAGTAGGCGCTCTGGTATCTCTATTACTTAGAATATTAGCTCAAACCTTGGAGTTTTAATGGTCTGTATATATAAGAACATGAAATATAGATTAAAATTGAACCAGATGTAGTAATAACAGGCACTTTCCATAATTTATTAAAATTAGCAGTTGACTTGGTTTCTGCTTTTGTGTTCTAGTCTTTCTTTGAATTCAGAAATACAGTGTGGAGTGGTAACAGATAATTGATACATATACATATAACTGGCGTAAGGCTGCAGAAGATTATCTGAGCTGCGCAAGGTTGCACATTATCGTGCATTGCTGATGGTTAGCCAGAAACTCTAGTGTTTAGATTTGGCTGGAAATTGTGTTTTCCTTTTGGTTTAAATTCTGCTCACCGTCTTAAACTATGCTTAGGTCAGTGATGTCTATTCTTTTTGACTTGAAGAAGTGAAAATAAAGAACAGAAAGAAGCTTACCTTTAACAAGCACCAGCCAGCATGTTTAATCTGCATCACTGTCACATGGCTGTGCAACTCCTTTCACTTAAGTGGGGGGTGGTTTTGTTCACAGAGTCCTTGCTGATGCAGAATTAACACTGTTGACTTCTGTGCCTTCAGTCCTCTCAGAAGTGTGAAAGGGGATCACTTTTTGGGCTGCTCTGAATTCTTCGGTCTTCTGAACTGCTTGATCCAACGTGGAGATTCAGGGTGCCATATTTAGTAGAGGGCTTCTAGCTTTGTGGTGGGGGATTTTTCCCCTCCTTTTTTGGGGGTGTCCTGGGAAGGAGTAGCACAAGCAGAGCTAGGCAAGCTTCCTCCCTGTGCTGAGCAGAATACAGAGCAGAGCAATTTTTTGATGTGGTGGATCAGAAGTAATCAAATCATTACTTGACAATTCAGATGTAATTGTGTAGTGCTAGCATATATCCAGGGGTTTCACAGACGTACTGGTTTTCCAGCCAGAAAGCTTGTCTTGACTGAAGTTGAAGCTCTAGTGTACTGCTCTGGAGTTTCAAACATGTAAACAGCTTGATCTGAGCGAGCTGCAGGGCTGCTAGATAATCAAAGGTCCTCAGGAGGTTTTTTGTAAGTAGATAAACGGAGGTATAAATTACATGTGTTCTGGACATTTCAGATTTACTGCATGTACACAGATTGTCTGTGCAGTATTTTCAGCATATTTGCAGTGCATTCCATGTGTCAGATTTAGTGCATGTTGCACACAACTCCACCTGGGAATCCTAGAAAGAAAGCAAGGATGCACTTGTATCTTTTGAGATTGCATTCTACCTTCTTTGTATAGAAAGGCATGTTATTAAAAACTTCATTTAAAAAATTGCTTTCATAGTTCTACCAGTAAACTTTCAGTTTAGGAGGGTATACACATTTTCATAGCACAGTTGTGAAGAACTAGAACTTACAAGGTTGCAGGTTGGGATCTACGGGTCCAGAAGTGTTTGTAGGGAAGTATGTAACACTCTCTTTATTACTAGGATCAGTCAAGATCTGGCTCTCATCGCACGGGAAATCAACGACGTAGCGGGAGAGATAGATTCAGTGACTTCATCAGGCACTGCCCCCAGTACCACAGTAAGCACTGCTGCCACCACCCCTGGCTCTGCCATAGACACTAGAGAAGAGGTAGGAGATCTTCATGGAGAAATGCATAAGGTTCTTCCTTTTCTTTATTTCTTTTGCTTTTAGCATTTTGCATAGCCCTTTTTAGTTATTTCCACTCAACCCGTATGCATGATCGCTACATTGTTTTTTGCTTTAAAGTTCCTTTACATTCCAAGAAACAACCTAGAAATTATTCTATGAACACAGCCTGTCAATAGACTGCATACTATCTGTCTGTCTCTTTTTTTCCACGAAACATAGGACAAGATAATTATTTGGTTTTGCTTGTCTGTAGCCTTAGATACCATTGAATAGTATCTAAGTGCCTTTGAAGATACGAGTGTGTATGCGCAAATATATGTACATGTATGCATTTAATACTTTGCATAGCTATTGAAAACAAAAAAGTCCCTTTTTTCACAGGTGACAAAAGTTTCATCTTCTGAACACTGAAATACTTAGGTACCATCACTTAACAATCACTTCAGATTTTCTTTCTTAATAACATTGTCAAAAACTGCCTTAAAATAAGTTTGTCTTGTGCTCTAATAATTCTTATTTTCTTTGACTATTCTGGTGTGCTGCTCTATGAATATATTGACTAACTTGTTCTGGTAATCATCACAGGTCTAATGGCTGGTAAATATGCTAAACTGAATTTAAATCATCACTTTCTACCATATTATAATTCACTCTTATATGTTATAAATGTTTACTGCATTTTTTCTTCATAGTATTCCTTTCAAAATGTGTTTATTCATTTTTGTGTGCATAAAGTTTGGTTAATATATTAATTTACTTTGGATAGTATAATACTGTCTTTTTCTGTGGAAAAAAAGATATAAACAGTGATAAGAAACCTATGAGTTGAGAACTCAGATTATAACTGCACTCACAGAGATTCTCATGGACTTAAGGCTAAGATTCAAGGAAGTGCTTATTTTCTCAGATCCAGTTAGATCACTCTGATTATTTTGTTACTAAATAATTATTTTCTTCTTTAAGAAGTATTGTACAGTATGTGCATACTGCAGGTGGCAGTATCTCCTTTAAGTAGGTATAGGTGTTTCTGTACCACTATGACTAAACTGGGAAAAAAAACTGAAATTTTGTAGCACTCTACTTAATTCCACAAATATATTCCATTAATCAAAGGAATAAATTATTCAGTGCCAGTTTATAGGTAACTGTTATGTTACCTGACCATAAGCAAATTTTCTATGACTGGTAATTGGGGGAAAAAAATAGTTCATTTTTGCAAGTTACTGTTACATAAGAGATGAATCATTTTATGCTGTACAAGACAAGAGAATGATCTTTATTTGATGGGCTTCCTATAAACCATTTCAGAAAGAAAAGAATATTAATCTGATTGTTGCATGTATCAGTCGTTTTCATAAATGGCATTTTTCTTTCACCCCCCAGTTGGTTGACCGAGTATTTGATGAAAGTCTCAATTTTAGAAAAATCCCTCCACTAGTGCATTCCAAACCACCAGAGGGGAATGGTCGGCATAATGATGCTAGACCTCAGATAACAGATACCCTTGATCCCCCCAAAATTACCCGGAGAAGGACTTGGAGCAGAGATGAAGTGAGTGCAATATTGGATTTTCTATTAATGTGTCTATTTCAGGCTTTTACAATTCCCTTCCCACTTAATGTTCCAGACAATATCCTTTCTTTCCTACCTATAGCAGGTAGAAAAAAAAATATTTTGTGTATTATTTAATTTGCAAAATTGTTTTATATATGATACTAATTAGGAAACAAGTCATTTTTTTAAGTAAAAAATATTTCAACATTTATGGAATTGTTTGTATTCTTATTAAATTAACAGTATACTTTTTTATTAAAAACTTATTGCAGGTTATGGGGGACAGTTTACTCTTGTCCTCAGTCTTCCAATTTTCTCGCAAGATAAGACAATCTATAGACAAAACAGCTGGCAAAATCAGGTGGGTTTGTAAAAATTGTTATTACTGAAAATGTCTGTTCTCACCAACAGTCCTACTAGTAGAAGAGATAGGTATAATACAGATAGAATTTATTAGCAACTTGTGGTTTAAATAAAACAATGTTTCTTATGGCTTTTTTAGCATTCAGAAAGATTTGGGAAGAATAATTTTTCCATTATTGCTTTAGTCTTCACATTATATAAAGGTAAACATCAGCCAAGTTTACATGGACCGAGCAATATCCATCATACTTCCAACAGAAGAGTTTTTCCAACACATGCAAATACTAAGCAAAATCTACCCGACCTCTATGCAAGTCTTCTAAAACTCGCTTTCTTAAAAGATAAGGTTAAAATGTTGCTGAACTGTAGAACTGGCCCAGTGCTCTGCCAAGTTGTAGGGATCGCCTGTTTGGAAAGAAAAAAAAACTGGGACAGGGAGAGCAGTTTCAGTAAATCCTTCTGAAAAAGAACTCACCCAGGAAACAGTGTGATCACTATTGATTTCCAAACCTAAAGCAACAGATTTAACTATCTGTTATTTTTAATTGAAAATTCCTGCTTAGCTAGTTAGATTCCTGCATAAAATGTCATAGTAGCTATCAGGAAGTATAGACGTGTCAAAAATGATAACAAGTTGTTCTACCAACAGTTCCATTTAACTTGAATGAGTGAGTGTACAACCATTTGGTGACCATCTTGGTTGACAATAATAAATGAAAATTCTAAATACAAATTTCAGGGTTTTATTATTCACGTGTTCTTTTTCATATCTTTGTGCACTTGATAATTTCAAAATCAGATACATTAAAAATAAAGTCATAGGGCTGAACTTCATGTATAATTTTCTGAATGTGAGAAGATATTATGTCTGTGATTGTCAATTTATCTGGGAAGCATCAGTTTAGATGGGTGACAGATTAATCACCAGTTCACAGATTTATTTCATCAAAGGGTGATGTAACTAGTAAAAGCGGCAAAATACTGTTGTATATGAAGATTGTATTATCATGGGAGTATCAAAAAAGCCTTGTCCATAGAAACCAAGAGGAAAAAATGGTCTGTATGAATGTGTACAAACTGTAGGTTATCTGCCATTTCTAGTCTGTTTCTAGTAAGAAAAGTATCACTGAGTGAAGAATCAAGTCTTTAAAACCTGGAGCCCATTCTTATTTATTCTGTTCTGAATGGTTTTGTGTGGGTTTTGTTGGGTTTTTACACTGGTGGCTACAGGTAACGCTTGTTAGTACCTTATTTCTGCTGTCTTGGAACAGGGCCAGGGCCTGACATTCATCTCACTTCTCTTTTTCCAACTCAGCACTTTGGGCTGCAGGATTATAATGCTGGAAATACACCCTTTGGTGCCTTTCCCTCTTCGGTTTCCACAGATACATTATTTTATGATTCATACTATTTATTTAAATATCCTTAAACAAAGGAGACATGAATGTCTTTTGCTATGTAAATTTCAGGTACAAATCAGTTGGTGAAATTCAGGTGTACAATACTGTTACTTTCAAAAGCTGTGCCAGATTAACAGAGTTCAACTTCATTATGCAGAATTTATTACAAATTATGCTGAAGTTAATAACTTGTTCAAGTTTAATCAATCTCTAAATACATGCTATCATTTACTTTAATAGCTGATCTCAAAAACCGAACAAATAAATACACGCGATGAGGTACTTAAACATGACCAGTTTTTGAAAGTCATTCTAAAAGGCATTTGAAATTTAGAAATAGAAATGAAATACTACATTAAGTTTTGTTTTGAACATAATTCTTTGGGAAAATACAGTGACATCCGTAAGGAACTCTGCTTACCAATGTATTTTTTTTTTCCTTTTAAAGCTGCATCATTGGAACAAGAATCTTGCCTATTGACTGACTTATTTGTCGTAGGCATCCAGGATGATAGGTATCTTAAAATGCCTCAGAAGCAGTAGATAGTAGATACTCTTTTTTAGTTCTGATTTTTCTTGACAGTTGGCAGTTTCTGACCTGCAGATATGTTGCTAGCACAGCTCTAGTTTACTTACAGTAAAAAACTGAGTGCAGTATAGTGGTTTAAAACAAATGTGTGTATGTGAATTCATTCTGAGAAAAGCGTATAACCGTAAAATCAAGTCTTACATGTTTTTGGTTGATTCTCTGAGCTTAAAAGGTAAGTCAGCTACATTGTAACGAATGTCATAATTATGTGATCATGTATGATATAAAAAATGTAAGCATACCTATAAACATTTTATATATTTAAAGAAAGGGGCATTGCTTATTTCTATCAAAATATAGTGGAGAAACTTTCATTAAGCAATTATTTAATGTATTCCCCAGAGCTGTGATCAAAATTTCCTTTTCCTGCTATTCAGAATGGATTAGAATAATATGATGTTATTCCTAATGTCATTAGTATTTTGGATCAGAAAAAATAACTGTAGTTGCAGGATTTCTTTTTTTTAGAAATGGTATAAAGCAGTTAGATGAGGTAAAAAAAACTTTTACCTTAGCTTTGTTTTCATGCACGAGTTCAACCAGCTGTGTTGACAGTGCGTCTGTCCCTTTTATTGCAGTTAAGGCAGTTAAAATTTCCGCCCAGGACAGATGCAATGAGAATCAGTTAGGGTTTGTCAAGCTAGCAGTTGCATGTGGTTTTTCAGAGTCATCATCATCATCTGAAAGGACAGAATAAACTTTTAGAGGCATCAACAAGAGTAAGCTGGTAAGCCTGACTGTGTTTTAAAAGCCCTTCATCAAATAACATTGTTCCCCAACATAAGCTGCTCCCCAGAGCAGGGACACTATAGGGCAGTTGCACTCCCTACAAGTTGCATCATACATGTTAAAAAATTTCAGCCTTCCTGTCTGGGTCCAAATGGAGAAAGATGTTCTTCCTCTGAATGTGAGAACTCTTCTTTCTGTAATATTTTAGTTGCAACAGCTAGCTTTACAAAAAGACCAGTTTCTTTTTAGCTGAAGTATTAAGACCTTAAATATGTTTATGGAGAGCAGATTATGGAGAAACAGATCTCTCAGAAACTAAAATGAGCCAAAATCAATCAGGAAAATAAATTAGTATGGGGAAATTAGTATGGGCAAAAGGCAATATATATCTTTTTGCTTGACTAGTTTCTTTCCCACTTCTCCACTACCATTTGTTTTATAATAATGTTCCGAGTTCCACAGAGTTCTGTAATCATTCCTACCTTATATTAAGAAATAAGATTGAGGGAAGCTTTTGACCCTGTATTCCTCAGCACTGTATTCTCCCAGTGCTAACAGAACTGGATTTTTATCTGTAGGTCCTAGTATGGTGTTCAGATTAAACAGATTGAAGTACCTGTTTTTTTCCTTTCACCAAATCCTTTGTATATTTGTAATTTTCTTCAGGATAAGGTCATAGCTTAGGTAGTACTGAATTGCTTTTTTTATTATATATTTTTATTCATTACTTTGTATAATTAGTTATATTCTTATCTGCTGGTGCACACAAAACTGCATTGTATTTAAAAATTCTGCAGCATTCGTGCCATGTATCATGTAACCTGTTCTTCACTGCCTGGATATTGTCATGGGTTCCCAGGAAGCCAATATGCAATTTGTTTACTTTTGTGTCTTTTATATGTTATAATGGGTTTGCAGGAATTTTCAGATATTATGGGGGGAAGAAGTAAGTAGGTTTTGCAGTGAGAAGACCTACACGGTCTTCTGTGCTCTACGATGTGAATGAAGTGTTACTGGCTTGCTTGTAGCAGTCAAGTACCTCTTCAGTCAGGCAGAATCTAGGCAAAGCATTCGGGTCAGTGTAGATACTAATTGTCAGTCTCTGCGGTTTGCTGTGCATCCAGCAAAGTTCAGTGTTATTAAAATGGGGACTGAGCACAAGAAAATACAGAGTTCAGGTAGATTTGCCCCAGAAAGTAGGAAGAGGTTCAGCACAAGGCAGCAGTCATTTATAAATATGTTCTTTTAGGGTATGGTTTGGTTGAGAAGGAGGAAAAGGAGACGACCCCAGGAGGTTAAAATGTACTAAATGAACAACTGAGAAAAAATGTTGTAAGAAGGAAATAGGCTTCCTAAAAAAAAAACCAAAAAACCCAAATTGGCCTGTCCACAGTGTAGTCCACACAATTACTAATTCCTGCTTTCATCTTTCGATCATTTTTCTTTTTCTTTTTAATAAAATGACCTATGAAATGATAAGCTTTCAAATTGTAAGAGGAAAGTAAGAAAAGTATTTCTAAAAGCGGGTAAAACTGAAAACACCACATATGCAAGCAAAAGGCACCAATCACACCATAAAGGTAGAAGTATTTCAATATAATTATGGGCAAGAGGTAAATGAAAAAAAAACATGCAATGTCAAAATAACATATTTTTCTACTAGTGATGTTTCCTGCTGAATAAAGCCTTATTTTCTGTTCCTGCTGATTTTCAGTGTGATATAAATGCTATTAAAGTACAGAAAGTATAGCTGTGTAAGACTCTGTATACTGAATCCAGGTATTTCTAGGAGTTGCCTGGTGCATGGTCCTATAAAAATTTAAGTGGCTGTGCTTTTCATTTATTTGTTTTAACTCATCACTGTCAGACAAGTCCTACATTTTCCATTGTATTTGGACTTTCTTGTACCCAGCTTTGCAGCTGTGTGGTTTTGCAAGCTTTTGCACTCCCTTCCAGAACATAAAAGCAATATTCTCAGACACCTGATCACAGTATCACAGTATCACAGTAGGTTAGAGATTGGAAGGGACCTCAAAAGATCATCTAGTCCAATCCCCCTGCCGGAGCAGGAACACCTAGATAAGGTTACACAGGAACGTGTCCAGGCGGGTCTTGAATGTCTCCAAAGAAGGAGATTCCACAACCTCCCTGGGCAGCCTGTTCCAGTGTTCCGTCACCCTCACTGAGAAGAAGTTTCTTCTCAGGTTTAAGTGGAACCTCTTGTGCTCCAATTTGTACCCATTACCCCTTGTCCTTTCATTGTTTGCCACTGAGAAGAGCCTGGCTCCATCCTCGTGACACTCCCCCTTTATATATTTATATACACTAATAAGGTCACCCCTCAATCTCCTCTTCTCCAAACTATAGAGACCCAGCTCCCTCAGTCTTTCCTCATAAGGGAGATGCTCCACTCCCTTAATCATCTTAGTTGCCCTGCGCTGGACTCTCTCCAGCAGGTCCCTGTCCTTTTTAAACTGAGGGGCCCAGAACTGGACACAATATTCCAGATGAGGTCTCACCAGGGCAGAGTAGAGGGGAAGGAGGACCTCTCTCGACCTACTAACCACCCCCCTTCTAATACACCCCAGGATGCCATTGGCCTTCTTGGCCACAAGGGCACAGTGTCGGCTCATGGTCACCCTGTCGTCCACCAGGACCCCCAGGTCCCTCTCCCCTACACTGCTCTCTAACAGGTCGTTCCCCAGCCTATACTGGAACCTGGGGTTGTTCCTGCCCAGATGCAGGACTCTACACTTTCCCTTGTTATATTTCATCAAGTTATTCCCCGCCCAGCTCTCCAGCCTGTCCAGGTCCCTCTGGATGGCAGCACAGCCTTCCGGCGTGTCGGCCACCCCTCCCAGCTTAGTGTCATCAGCAAACTTGCTGATAGTACACTCAATTCCCTCATCTAAATCGTTGATGAATATATTAAATAATACTGGTCCCAGTACCGACCCTTGAGGCACTCCACTAGATACAGGCCTCCAACTAGACTCCGCCCCATAGACTACAACTCTCTGGCTTCTCTCCTTCAGCCAGTTCACAGTCCACCTCACTACCCGATCATCCAGACCACACTTCCTCAATTTAGCCGCAAGGATGCTGTGGGAGACCGTGTCAAACGCTTTGCTGAAGTCAAGGTAGACCACATCCACCGCTCTACCATCATCCATCCACCGCGTTATTTCCTCATAAAAGGCTACAAGATTGGTCAAGCACGACTTCCCCTTGGTGAAGCCATGTTGACTGCCCCTCATAACCCTCTTATCCTTGATATGCCTTAAGATGGCACCAAGGATAAGGTGTTCCATCACTTTCCCAGGAACGGAGGTGAGGCTAACCGGTCTATAGTTACCCGGGTCCTCCTTCTTGCCCTTTTTGAAGACAGGAGTGACATTTGCTTTCCTCCAGTCCTCAGGCACCTCTCCCGTTTCCCAAGACTTGGTAAAGATGATGGAGAGCGGTCTAGCTATGACCTCAGCCAGTTCCCTCAGCACCCGCGGGTGCATCCCATCTGGACCCATGGATTTATGGATATCCAGATTGCTCAACTGATCTTTAACCCATTCCTCATCGACTAAGGCAGACCGCTCCATTGACCTATCTTCATCCGGGGTCTCAGCGGTACAGGGCTCTTCAGGACTGCCTCCAGCAGAGTAGACAGAGACAAAGAAGTCATTCAGTAACTCTGCCATCTCTGTATCTTCTGTCACCAGGGCACCCGTCCCGTTCATCAGCGGGCCTACATTGCCTCTGGTGTTAGTTTTACCTGCCATGTATTTGAAAAAGCTCTTTCTGCTGTCCTTGACCCCTCTCGCCAGCTTTAATTCCAAGGAGGCCTTAGCCATCCTAGCAGCTTTCCTACATCCTCTAGCAGCAGCCTTATATTCTTCCCAAGTGGCCAGCCCTTCTTTCCATGACCTGTAAACTCTCCTCTTCCACTTGAGCATACCGAGCAATTCCCTATTTAACCACGGAGGTCTCCTGACCCTCTTCCTCGACTTCCTACGTGTCGGGATGCTCCGATCTTGAGCTCGGAAAAAGCAGTCCTTGAACGTCAACCAACTATCTTGGGCCCCTTTCCCTTCAAGCAGCCTAGCCCACTGGATTTCCCCTAGCAATCGCTTGAAGAGGCCAAAGTTTGCCCTGCTAAAGTCCAGGGTTGCGATTCTACTTGCTATTCTACTGACCCTACCAGACAAGATCCTGAATTCTACCATCTGATGTTCAACTTTGTTACAATATGGTGACACTACTTGAGGCCATAAAGTGTTCCATGTTTTCTTCACTGTAGTTTTGATTGCTTTTGTTTTCTCTTTCCCCAAGAAGCAGTATGTAATAATGCTTGCTCTTTGTGTGCTATGAACACTAAAATCACTTGCAGAAGTGGTCATTTGCCTCAATCACACTACATTGTGTTATGAGAGTATTCATAATTAAATTGGTATAAAATACAAATGTAAAAGAGTTGCATTTATTTGCTACCGTTAACCTTTCTCTTACGTTTTGCAGTTGTAAAATACAGTGTTAATGGGGAGTTCTCTGACTATTGTAAAATAGTTGGGTTTTTAGAAAAACATCTCAGTGCTGGAGGGAAGAATAAACTGTGTCTTTTCAACACCGTAAGCAAGTAGTTAGCTACAGAAGTGCCATTTTAATGTCAAGAATAATGGTATTGCTGAAACCATGTATGCTTCCCTGAAAATTTATGGTTGGATTCTGTCAGTTTTCAATATTTCCAATTTTGCTTTTATTCAGTGCTCCCTATGCTGCTTTGTTGCACCATGTTATCTAATCTCTCAAGTTTAATTTCTTTTTGTCTATTTAAAACGTGCTCTTCTTGAATTTTTCTTCTAGAATATTATTTAAGGACAAAGACAGAAATTGGGAAGAAATTGAAAACAAGTTGCGAGCTGAAAGTGAAGTTCCTATTGTTAAAACATCAAGCATGGTATGAATAGTTATCTTTTCTAGGATTGACTGAGCCTCTTGTCTAATTTCTAAATATCAACACATATAGCATTTTGCTGTATGTGAAAGAAAATAATCTGTATTGCAATAAAAGCACTCTTCAGAGAAAAATAATCATGTTGATTTGTGCAGAAGTGATAGCTATAGGATACCAACTACAACTGCAGCTGATTCATGTCTTCCCCCCACTGCGTAGTTAGAGCCATTTCATGACCAGACTGAGTGAGAGTGTGAGGGGACAGAGCACATGTGTTGTTTCCTAGTGCACTTCTCCTCTGCTTCTAAACACGGAGCATAGGGTTTGAAAAACATCTGTGCATTTGGGAGCAGGCAGAGAGTCTGGCTATGTTATCCCGTCTGGAGTATTGTGCTGTTAAGAACATCATCTTAGGCAGTTTTCTGAGGGATGGGTGGGAGGGGAAACTCCTTCTCACATAGTACTGGACTGCTCAGAAGTAAAATGTGAACACATTTCCTCTGGCATCAAGCTGGCTAGCACTTCTCTGTGAGCTCATCATGAGCTATTAAACTAATCCAAATTGATTTTTCCTGGAAGTATTAAAAACTTGGCCAGTAATTTCTGAAAAATGGTGTATTTTTTTTTAAGAGAAATCATTTGTAACTCAGTGTATTTAGTAGATACACTGGCTGTTTGGTTTGGGGGGTTGTTTTTTTCCTAAGTTTTGTTTATCTAGTTACAGAAGTTTCTACTTTTACAAATATAATTCTTTTACCCATTTCCAGAATAAGATTGAAGTTTAGTGCTTTGTATTTTAATTCCATGAATAGGTCTTTAAGGCACTTATTGCAAAAGAAAACTATTAGTTGTATATTTATTTCTAATCTCAGCATTTTACAGTTTCTCTTTTCAGGAATTAAATTCATTGTTTGAAAGTGTATGGCTTAGGGTTTGGGGTTTTTTTTTTGTCTGTGCACTGATTTTCAAGTTTCTGCTCAGTTTTCAGAGCAATTCGTTGTTCAAATGCAGTCCTTATTTTTACCATGGAATATTGTTAAGAGTTAATAAAGGACATTTGTTACCGATGTTTGCTTTGTTCTTGGGACATTTGTGCCCAGCTCAGATGTGGAATTTGCTTAAAGATAATGACTTTGTAAGATCCAAGGTAATCAGTCTCTTTGCCACCCACAAAAATCACATTCCTTAGTATAGAATGGGTTTCTGAAATAGGTTAAATAGGTGCCCTTGAAAATTCTCAGCTTTTGAAGTTCACTGGTAGCTCTCTTCAGCACCTAAATTAACAGTGTTCTTAGTGAGGGATCCTTAATTTGTAGGATGTACATATTTATAATTTAAGATGTGGCACACTTAGCGATGGTTATGTTTCTGAGTGCATTGCTGTGGCAACGTCTGTTAGCAAGTAGTGCAGCACAGAGGAGAAAAATCTGTAAGGCAGGCAGGTGCAGAGGACCCAACATTGGTGTGCTGTACAGGGTCTTGTGGGCATAGAGCCCAGTGGTTACAGACAAAATCCTGATGCCAGCATCTTGCTGTTCTGACTCACATGTGAACAGGGTCACCCTACTCCATTAATACCGGGCTTGTACTGTAACTTTCCTTTATAACGGTTTGCTGCTACTTTGCCTTATTTATACAGAGCCCTAGTATCTAAGTCTGTGCTTGAGAAGAAGCATGCAGACAAATGAGCAAGGAACAGAGTGAGGTTTGGTTGACACTCTTTCAGTGCAGAGTAGAGCTCTTAATTTCAGAGTGGGCCACGGCTGTCCAGTCTCAAGCACTGCCACCCAGGACTTGTAGTGGACATGGCTGGGCCACCACCAGCAAAAGTGTTCTTGATGCTAGGACAGACAACCCAAATAGCCTATTGCAAAGGTCAGGTGGGGGGATTGTTTACTACTGACAGGTAGTTTGAGTCTCCTTTTCCTTAATGAAACGTGTTTGTTTCTTTCCTAGGAAATATCGTCAATCTTACAGGAACTGAAACGAGTTGAGAAACAGCTGCAAGGTACTATCTTTTTTCACTTTCCTCTTTTTTGATTGCTTGCTTCAATTTATATATATATATATGTATGTTTCTCATGAAAAAAGTTACTGCCTTTAATTAAAATATATTAACAGTATCAGTTGCATACATAAATGTAATTCCTAGCACATTTGGTAAAGAAACATCACTGAATTATTTTAAAACAAGAGTATCATATCTTGTGTGCATGAGAAAAAGGCTCAAATGAAAATTAAATAGTCCAGAGAATTCCAAAGGAATTATTTTTGAAACATTCTTAATAGAAATATTTTCATGGGTAAGTATTGAAGAGTAGGTGATAGAGAATATGGAGATTAGTCTGTATAAAGCAGTGTTTGTACATCAGTAGTACCCTCTGTGTAGGTAAGTGTACATCAGTAACACCCTCTGTGAACTGTGTAGCACTGGGACCATAGTCTATAGGAAATCTCAAAAGCTAAAACCACCTGTATCTGATACAATAAAATGAAAATTTAGAGTTAGCTCTTGACATCTTCCTGTCAAAACACTGAATCCACTCTTTGCGATTGTGGAGTCCAAAGGCTACAAAATGGAAAAGTTACTTTGCTTTTCACATGCTAAGACTTAGCTGTGTATATGATAGAAAGAAGTATGTTGTGCTTACAAAGTCTGCTATTTGGACATATGTTCCATTAACCAAAATCAACTTAAAATCTTAGTAGATTTTAAAAATAAGCTGCAGTCTTATTTGTATATTGTTTATACTTAGTTTAATTTGGAGTGGTCAAATGGATTAGTAGTCCATGTTGATATATAACTGTTATTGTATTTCTTGTAAATTTCCTGTATTTGTTATTTTTAGTATTCAGATCTAATCCCACAATAAAACATGTTTTAAGAGAATAATGTTTCAGGAGAAATTGTTAGCTCCCTTTAGAGACAAATTAGTATTTGTTTCATTCTGAGCTATAATTAAAAAGGGTTCATTTATTACAAATTATATTGTGTTTAGAGAACATAATAAAGAAATTTGGCCCAGAGAAAGAGACCAAATCATTTTCTTGCATATGCAGTGGTCTTCTAATAGATCTTAGTACAGTTTTGGAAATTAAAAAGAGAGAGGTTTCATTAAACATGACAGATGTGTTAGTAGTATGATAAAATGAAACTGTACTAGGTGTTTCAGTTTGCCCTCGCTATGCGGGGGAAAGGGGACAGTGAGTCCATCATTATTCATTAAATAGAATAAATGACTGCTCTTCTATACAAATTTCATTCAATCACAGAATTAGCAGCTATGGACATTTGAGTGGGGGTGTAGAATGAAGCATAATACATAATGACAATGTTAGAGCCCCTTAAACATGACTAAAAATCCCATCTTTCAGTCCCTATAAGCTAATCTTAGATGGTTTGTCATCTCTCCTTCCTGTCTGCACATCAAGCAGTGTTTAGTTTGTGTAGCTTCATTTCATCTAAAGCTTCATCTTTTCTTGATTGCTTAGCAATTAATTCTATGATCGACCCTGATGGTACCCTGGATGCTCTGAGCAACTTGGGATTCGCCAGCCCCATCTTACCAGCTCAGCCAAAGGCGAAGTCCAGTCCCATTTCCCAAAGTACCTGCCCTCAAGTGCAGCCAAACTGCCAGCCTGAAGCTCGGGCTCTTCAACACGCTGCTGACCCTGGTGCAGCGGAATTTGAGAATGCTGAATCCGAGTCAGATTTCAGCATACGTTTCAACAGATTTAACCCAGATGGGGAAGAGGAAGATGCCACCCTGCGTGAGTGACATCTCAGTGTTGATAAAAAACCTTTCATGTGGAATGTTTAGGAATAAAGAAAAAAATATAATACTGGTTTTATAATTAAAAAAAAAAAAAGAAAAAAGCTTGGTCAAACAGCAGTTTTATTAAACCAGTTTTCTTTGACTGTGATGCTTTGATTGTCACACAAATCCTTTTCCAATCATAATGATATGCATAGATACCAGTGTAGGAAAGCAGATTGTGGCAGGTTTGCCCTTTGTGGTTGTGTGCTTTGCAAAAGATTTATTAATATCAGCGATTTTCCCTTAATAGATTTATTTCTTTTCAAAAGCCATGCAAGCAGTCTAACATTTAATGTTACTGAAACCCCAAATCTCTTTGCCAAGCTGCTCTGATGAATGGACTTCCTCCACTAAAGTTTGTACAGAACTGTTGAACACTTGCATTTGACTCTGAATTAGATGGTTTATATGGGAAACATTATCTTTGACTACAATGACACATTACTGCAATAGGTAAGACAGATTTTAGAAAGCATTCATTCTTGCGTACTGAAAATCTCAAACAGTTCTGTGATTTATATAATCTCGTTGCTGCATAAATTTTCTTGGGGTTTACAAACTTCACATATTATGTTTGCACTAAGATTGCTGGGAGTGGGAGGTGAACATATCGATATCAATAAATGGCAAACAGTGTTTTGGTGTACATAGAAAACGGATAATACTGTACTTGTATTATCATCACAGTGTTTTAATCCACTTTCTACAAAGACTATTTGGCACTTTTTGATCTTCTTCAAATGACTTTTTGATGTTAATTAAAGTAGAAGTATTTCATATCTCATCTCTGTCCAAATGTTTGTTGGATCCAGGAAATAAATTAAACATGGGACATCTCAAAGCGTAGTGAGGCGAATGGGCTTTCACCAGTTCAAATGCAACATAGCTTACAGAAGAAATTACTGTTTCTCGGAACGATTGTTAGATGTAAAATTTTCTTTAGGGGACTTGGAAATAGAAGTGTCATAATTTGCTTCATCGATAGATTCACTCCCCAGTGAATGGTTTTATTTGCTTCTGTATATTTTCCTGTAGTCTTGCTAGTAAAGCTGTCTCTGTCTTACATATTTAAAAGGATTCTGGAAGACGACTGCTAACATAGACATTTTGCTTATACCACTGGAAAGCAAGTCTGTTTAAAGTTTCCTCTATAAGCCTATTTTCCTTATAAGTTGTCCCAGTAACTTAACATTTGGAAATAATAATAAAAAAATAAAAGTAAATTACTTTGTATTTCCAGAACACTGTAATTTGGAGGAATTTTATTTCTGTTAAGTGTAACTAATAGACTGGAATTTTCCTATGTTTGCATCAGTCTCTATATATTAAGGTTAAATATACAGTTTTGCAGCTTTTATGAAATGGTCTTTAATATTTCAGCAATAATCCTAGATTACATTTGTTTTAAAACCAACTACTTTCTGTACACTTTTAAATTGTACAGGCTTTCAGAAGTCAGTGAGGTTGGACCAGTTAATAAAAATGCAAAAACTTTTTTTGTAGAGATGTAAAAAAAACCCCACTAATCTGTTGTATAATGGATTTCATATTTTCTTTAAAAAAATTAAAAGCAAACAGCCTTCATGTATGGCTATGCTCTACTCCAGCTAACTGGGAGCCTGGACTACACCAGTTTACAGTGGCTACAAGAGAAGTTTTAGAAGGTAGAGAAGGGCAAAAATAAATCGAAACTATAGCTAGGCGGTGAGAACTGAGTGTACCAAACCATCACCATAATTCCTTCTTTTGTTGAATGCTTGGGAACATAATTTTTCTGAAGGCTCGAAGGGAAAGTAAGAAATTACTAGGAAGGGTAAAAAAGGTGCAGGCTCTTCATGCGAGATTCTGTTTGTGTTCTTTCACACAAAATACCTTTACGTTCTGTAATGAGCATTTTGCATTACTATGTTCTTATTTTGTATGAACATGTTCTCCTTATTTATTTTTGTTACATTTATTATGTATGTTATTTTGTTATATGCATTTACAACTCCATTTTTAAATAAAGTGTTTCTGGAACAAATGTGTGAATATGTAATGAAGAGCTGGGAGGTTTACACAGTCTTCCTGCAGTCTGTGTTACCTTTGCTGAAATAGGAAATGGCATTTTTCATAAACATCCTTTCTCTGTAAGAAGATACATTATTGCCGCTGCTGCATCATTTATTCAGTGCTGACAGTATTGGCCCATTTTCCCATATTCAGGTTCATTTCCACGCTTGAATTGATTTTGTGTGCAAAGCTAGAGGCAAAAATAATCCACTAGGCCAGTCACCAACTAGTTGACTGTTTCCCTTCGTAGAAGGAAGGTGAGTTTTACTGCACCTGCCAGTTGCAGCAGTAGATGGCTTTCAGATTGCCCTCCTTCTGCTTCATATATTGAAAAACTTTACTTGAACATTCCGATTTGGTTCCAGACTGGTGTGTATTTTTCTTCTGTCTCAGCTTAGACTCCTCCGACTCCATACGTACTTTTCCCGCAAGATGCTGTAGCTAGCTAGCTTCATGCAAGAACAAAGCTATGAGTTCGGTATAAAGCTCCAAAAATTCCTTCCCAGGTCACTCATTTCAGTGTTGCTGAGCTTTGCTGTGGCTTAGCAGCAGCCAGCACTGTCTTGCTTCTGTACACGTAATTTTCTTTCGTATACACAGACTGGTGGCAGTAAGGCTGCACTGATGGCACACAGTAACACTCCACAGGGCTGAACTCTAGAGAGGCAGGAGAACATCTGTGATGTTCAGAGATGCCAGTTTATGATAGTGAAAGACTGATGAAAAAGTTACTAAGGGCTTTCCAGGTGCTCAGGTCCTTTTTATAGCCCCCCCACTTGCCTGGCTACTATCATTTCCTCATGTGTTGCCAGTATTCTCTAGCTTTGAGGAGTTAAGAAGAGTGCATTTCTGGGTTAGTATTCTCATGCCCAGAGCCTCATTTATGTAAGCAGTAGTGGAGCATTTTATTTCTTCCCACACAGTATTTTCACCGGTCCAGTATACTTTGAGCCAAGGTTATGCAGAGGTGTTTTCAGACATAGTTAGGAAATCCAGCCAGGTCGCATCAGTCTTCTTCCTTTTGACATGAGCAAGTGGGGCTGACATGCAGAGACACAGAGCAAGAAGAATTCAAGCCTTTTCTGATGAGCACTGTTGGTTCCTCCCTTAGCTACATGCACTGCTCTAATTAGATATCCAACAAACACTTTTAATGACACATCTAGTTGTAGCATACAGAAATAAAGCTGAGTGTAATTGGTGTGCCTGATCTGATGGCAGCAATATGGTGTTTCACTGCGGCATGTACATTATACCAAAGGCAACTGGTACTTCAGTCTCCAAAGAGAATGTTGCTGCATACGAGAAACTGAATTTCAGTCAATGACCATGGGAAGGCCTTTGTAATTTTAACTGGAAAGATTACAAGCACTGGAAAGATCTACAATTACTGCTTCGACATGCAGCCATGAAAACATGGGTACTCAGGATTGCGTGCAGCATTCTGTGAAATAGTGTGTAGAGCAAAAGGCGGCGACTCACTATGTGCCAGAGGTTTTATAGCAGCAAGTCTTTTGTATCTGAAGAGATTACAAGGAAGGAGCATAGCTGCTCACCATGCAAGTGGCTTAGCTTCATTTTGATGAGTAATGACAGTTTTAAAAGTGCAAGAATGCCATCTTTGACATTAAGTAGAGCACATCTGGAAATGCTGACAGGGATACAGCACTGCAAGTTCAGCCATGCTTGCCAGGTACTAAATACATAGAATCATAGAATAGTTAGGGTTGGAAAGGACCTTAAGATCATCAAGTTCCAACCCCCCCTGCCATGGGCAGGGACACCTCACACTAAACCGTCTCACCCAAGGCTTCGTCCAACCTGGCCTTGAACACTGCCAGGGATGGAGCATTCACAACCTCCCTGGGCAACACATTCCAGTGCCTCACCACCCTAACAGGAAAGAATTTCCTCCTTATATCCAACCTAAACTTCCCCTGTTTAAGTTTTAACCCATTACCCCTTGTCCTACCAGTACAGTCCTAATGAAGAGCCCCTCCTCAGCATCCCTGTATGCCCCCTTCAGATACTGGAAGGCTGCTATGAGGTCTCCACGCAGCCTTCTCCAGGCTGAACAGCCCCAACTTTCTCAGCCTGTCTTCATACGGGAGGTGCTTCAATCCCCTGATCATCCTCGTGGGCCTCCTCTGAACTTGTTCCAACAGATCCATGTCCTTTTTATGTTGAGGACACCAGAACTGCACACAATACTCCAAGTGAGGTCTCACAAGAGCAGAGTAGAGGGGCAGGATCACCTCCTTCAACCTGCTGATCATGCTCCTTTTGATACAGCCCAGGATACGGTTGGCTTTCTGGGCTGCAAGCACACACTGAAGCCGGCTCATGTTCATTTTCTCATCAAACAACACCCCCAAGTACTCCACAGGGCGGCTCTGAATCTCTTCTCTGCCCAGCCTGTAGCTGTGCCTGGGATTGCTCCCACCCAGGTGTAGGACCTTGCACTTGGCATGGTTAAACTTCATGAGGTTGGCATCAGCCCACCTCACAAGTGTGTCAAGGTCCCTCTGGATGGCATTCCTTCCCTCCAGTGTGTCAACCGAACCACACAGCTTGGTGTCATCAGCAAACTTGCTGAGGGCGTGCTCAATCCCACTGTCCATGTCAGCGACGAAGATGTTGAACAAAAACATCCGACAATGCTGTTCTTGGCAATATTGCCTAGGGGCAGTTGCCTCAGGCTAAAGAACAGCATTACCTGCTGGCTCAGTAATATTGCAAAAACCATTTCTATTTTTCACTTGGTAAACCTTACCCAGTGCTGCCCCTGCAGGTGACAGCCAGTGAAGAATTGTTGGGGAGCAAGGCAGTTCCTTTTCTTGCTGTTCATATATTTCTCTCAGAAAAGATGCAGTTAGAAAATAAGTGGGATTGTGCAGCCCTGGAAATACTTTAAAGCAGGGTAAGATAACTGGAATCTAGAGGTCTTTACCTGTTCCAAGGAGACCAGAGCTGAGAACTAGTAGTGAAGAACTAAACCCAGTGCTTGCTTTGTCTTGCTAACAACTTCCGAGAGCAGTTACTGTTTTGTAACATTCTTACCTCCCATCTGAGGAGAGCTCTTAAAATGACAGGGTATTTACAAAACGACCTCTTTGGGGAGGCTGCATTAAAACAGGAGTTTGTAGTTAAGTGAATACCCTCATGGAAACACAGGGCAACGTTTCCAAGTAATACTTGCCAAAGCTATTCAAGCTCTAGGCCCTTGGGTGTGGAGAGAGGGGATAGAGATTTGTTCATTTCAGGGTTAAACCTGACGTTTCCGTTTACCGATGAATGTCTGTTCTCGCTCAGTTCTGCTGCTGTAGTCCACCGGCTCCTTTGGGCTAGCATTTTTAAACCTGGTTGAAAAATTGATGCACATGTTTATAATTTATAAGGCTTTCTCTTCCTATGGAGTAGCTAAAAGCACTATCACTGCTCTAACGGTCTTTATATTAGATTAAAAAATAATGGCTTAGCAGCAGCATGATTTACCTTTCAAACCAAATGTGGGGGTTTTTAACAGGAAAAGCTGAAGTAATAATAAGGGCTTTAAAAGAACCATGTACAGTGTGAGGTTTCTGTTTGTCTCCCCATGCACACATTGACCTGTATGAAGCTGGCTGGGCACAAATAATTAGGTTTATACATAAAAGTTAATGGGTGACTTTGCATTCGTTTACAGCATCACCTCTGAAGTGATGTTATTTGTAAGAACTTGATAAAGTTCTTAGAACAAATGAGATAAATGGTATTTCCCAGAATCACAACTGACTGATAAATGAGCAGGCAAAACACTATGTTCTCAACAGACATTACTGGCTTAGGAGATTGAATCAAGTCCAAAAGGCTAAGCAAAATCTTGTGACAACTCTAGAAAGAAATCAAATGACAGATGAGCAGAAGTCAGTCTGGGCAGGAGGGAATTCTGAGTCCCAGTGCACGTTATTGAGCACTGCCACTAATGTGAGCAACTTTAGTGGGAAGGAGATCTGGGGGGTGCAGATGGCACATCAGAGCTTGGCATTAGAATGGTGCTTTCAGAGCTGGGCAGGAGCTGGGCACGGACACACACTGCCTGCTCTGCGATGTGGCTCAGGTGCAAGCGAGGCGGCAGCCTCCCTGCTCCTTGGCAGAGGATGGCAGCTGGAAACACTCAGGAGTTATTCAATGTGTTGGTAATCACATCATTTTCACTCTGCATAGTGAATAGCTGGAGTTTCTCAAACAAACAGAAACAATAGAAGGCCCTCTATAAAGACCTCTGAACAAATCAGTGTCTCCAATGCAGTTTATTTTTTGCTCTTTTTCTAAAATCATTTTTGCACCTCACAGACTGGATCTATTTAACTGACTAAAGGTGCAGCTGTATAATATTGTAATCTTGCTACCTGCACACTTGGGAACCCCAGTGCTGCCAGAAATTTGCTGCATAGCCCTGTTCATTCTTTGTTTCCAAACATGCAGGGATACATGCAAACCAAGCTCCTCATGTCGTTGCTGCTCCCAGTACAATGGATGGCTGATAAAATGGTCATTTACAAAAATCAGCATTTTTAAAATGCAGTTTATGCAATGTTTTTCATACTTTCCAAGTTGCTTTCTTCCCTTTGCAAGTCTGAGGTAAATATGTTGCTGCAGTGAGTTGATTTCTACATGCACACCCTCCTCAATGATAGCTCCACTCTAATAACTAAAAATGCAGGGTTTTATTAAAAATCACACCTGTGGCTTCACTGAAGTTATTATTCCGAAGGCAGCAGAAGTTCAAATACAGATTTGAAAACACAGCGTAATGTCTTGCCTGGGTGCTGACATTAGCACCAGGCACACTGAATTTGGGAGAGGTGCTGTGTTTCACTCCACATGAGCAGGGTTTGCTGTCTGGTGTAAGAAGCATTTGCTGCTTGGAGTGTTTGAGAGTATATTTTTAGGCTCCCAAGCCATTTGTGCATCTTGATTTCTAGCTTT